AGGGTCATACTAACACAAATGTGACTGAAGCTTTTAAAATGATCACTTACCTTGGAGTTTTTTCTTCTCTTCCAGTCCTTCTATTCTCTTCTCCTCATCATCTTCCCAAGGCAGCTTTCCTAGAATAGAACATGTGTTTACTGACATCTCTTCACCATGGTAAGTACACACTACTTACTTTGCCGCGTAACATGTATGATGTCTTTGGTGTAAATCCTACTTGCACGTGCAACCATCACATAGTGAACTTGCAGCTCCATCACACTCATTAACATGCGGGTGACCATCACATTCATATATAAAATGACCACATCCTCCCTCCTCTGTGTAATCAGCGACAGACCGGATACCTGAGCCTTCTGCTATGGTCCCCTTTGTGGTGGAAATGTTTTTGAAGACTGGAAAGTAGAAGACAGATTCCAAGCTCTGCACCTCAATGTATTTGCAGTAAAATGTCGTGAATGTCCTTTTAAAAAAAGATGTTTTCCGTTGGATGATGATTTCTTGTGGTTTTTTGTCAAAGTTTGACAAAACTACCTTTGGGAAGGAAAATGTAGTATTATCCACATAATAAAAATATATCAGTATTCTTTTGCAAATACTATAATAAAGCATTACTTACAAAGTACAGATATATTTAGTATCATACTCACTGTCATTTGTCCTGTAACCCTGACCTCTCCAGACAGCTTTTCTCCATTTTTCAGCTGAATGTAAATGCCATCAGCAGAGGCGTCGGGTTCGATCCTGACTGTGTACTCCATCAGTGTGACCCTTCTCAGCAAACTAAGCAGTACTGTGGATGCTTCTTATAAGTCACTGAAAGATATAAATCTCTTAAATCACACCCTTTTATGACGTCTCCCGTGGGTAGCAACTTGTTTCTGTGTAAGTTTGACTGGAAGCCAGTGAGGAAACAAGAATAAAATTCCTGTTTTGTATCAAACGGTCTTCATTTAATTACTTTGTAGGTGGGTCCAGATGTACACCTGCTCCACTCCATTATGACAGGTGACATGATGCGTATTGTAGGCGTCTTTGAGTTCTTGTAAAAGCGCTAAATAAATAAAATGTATTATTATTATTGTCACGCCCACAGAGACGGGGCAGCACAGCGGCTGTTGCCATCTATGACATATACCAAGCATTAATTTGTCTATTGTCTCTCCCACTTGCCTTGCCTGTTCCGTCCTGCCCTGCTGTCTGGCCTGCCCGACCCGCCTCGTCTGTCCTGCCTGCCTCCTCTATCCTGCCTCCCTGCCCGACCCCCCTCTCCGTCCTGCCTGCCAGATCGTCTCTCATCGTGTTCCCCGTCCCTCCGTCTCCTCGTCCCGTCTCTCTACGTAGGACTGATCTCCCCGGCATCTGACCCTCCCGACTATTCTACTGGATTCTCCCTGTCTGCTTTGGTGAAACCGATCTTAGAAATAAACGGCTCTCTTGCATATTGGGGTTCGTCTTTTCCCTCGCCGCGGAGTGTGACACGTATCATGATACAGAGGTTGTGATTCAATATATTGTAGTATATTGAGATGTTTTAAATCAAATTTTAGGAAAACGGTATAAAGTATATAGAAGTACAAAGAACACACCACCATATGGATAAAATCTGAGCAAAAAAAATAAGTTTACCTTTACTGTCACTTTACAAATGCAAGCCCCTAAATGCCAAGAAAAGGATAAAACTATAAAAGTGTAACGTTTATAGACTACAAGTACAGGTAAGGTTCATTATAAAATAAAAGATGTACAGTACTACAGTATGTAAAAGTCATGAGCCACCTCTCATTTCTTTATATTTCGCTAGGAAGACGGGACAATAGGCACAGTGATTTATTGCAACATGTGCAAACATACATGTAAATACAGTATATAACACAAAGAGTTTGTGTAGCTCAGCTCTCTCCTGATCTCCTCTGTATATACTGATGACAATTTGAACCGTAAATTTCAAATTTGGATTCATTGCTCCGCAAGACCTGTTGCCACTGTTTTTCAGTCCATTCTCTGTGTAAAAAATGCTTCTCCATATGTACTTGAAAAAATTCAGGAAACTGGACAAGTGGAGGACAAAAGAAGAACTACTGTATCACCATGCTGAGATATGCTGAGATATGGCAAGTTTTCAGTTAATAGCTCTTTGGGAATCACCTTGTTGGTGCAAAACTACTATTTCATGCATGTCAAACTGTCTTACCATATGAAAAAACAGTATGGTTCATATGTATGGCTATCAAGCATTTTTCTTATTTCAATTATATATGATAATGCATGATGTTTTTTATATGTTCACTACCATCCTGGGTATGACGTCGAACTTCATCCGGTCCTGCAGGTCCTACAGCTTGCAGGGAAAAATTTGGGGGTTGGTGGCAGGATTGGCCCTCCAGCCACCGTAAAACTTCACACAGCTCCGAACTGGCAGACAGGACACCATACGAAGGGGATGGGGGTGGGGGGGGGCCTGGGAAGTCGAAACCCTCGGAGGCCCAATAGGATCAGGCCTGTTGGGGCTCGGAATTGGAGTTGTGTTGAGGC